CCGCCCATTGTTGTGGGAGCGTCACTACCCCACCCATTGTTGTGGAAACATCCCAACCCCGCACATTGTTGTGGGAGCGTCCTTTTCCAGCTCATTGTTGTGGGAGCGTCCCTGCCCCGCCCATTGCTGTGGGAGCGTCACTACCCCGCCCATTGTTGTGGGAGCGTCCATACCCCGCCCATTGTTGTGGGAGCGTCACTAACCCACCCATTGTTGTGGGAGCGTCCCAACCCCGCCCATTCTTGTGTGAGCGTACCTACCCCGCCCATTGTTGTGTGAGCGTCCCTACCCCGCCCATGGTTGTGGGAGCGTCCCTACCCCGCCCATTGTTGTGGGAGCGTCCCTACCCCGCCCATTGTTGTGTGAGCGTCCTTACCCCGCCCATTGTTGTGGGAGCGTCCCTACCCCGCCCATTGTTGTGGGAGCGTCCCTACCCCGCCCATAGTTGTGGGAGCGTCCCTACCCCGCCCATTGTTGTGGGAGCGTCCCCACCCCGCCCATTGTTGTGGGAGCGTCACTACCCTGCCCATTGTTGTGGGAGCGTCTCTACCCCGTCCATTGTTGTGGGAGCGTCCCTACCCCGCCCATTGTTGTGGGAGCGTCCCTACCCCGACCATTGTTGTGAGAGCGTCCCCACCCCGCACATTGTTGTGGGAGCGTCCCTAACCTGCCCATTGTCGTGGGAGCGTTCCTACCCCGCCCATTCCTGTGGGAGCGTCACTACCCCTCCTATTGTTGTAGGAGCGTCCCTACCCCGCCTATTGTTGTGGGAGCGTCCCTACCCCGCCCATTGTTGTGGGAGCGTCACTACCCCTCCTATTGTTGTGGGAGCGTCCCTACCCCGCCCATTGTTGTGGGAGCGTCCCTACCCGGCCCATTGTTGTGGGAGCGTCCCTACCCCGCCCATTGTTGTGGGAGCGTCCCTACCCCGCCCATTGTTGTGGAAGTGTCCCTACCCCGCCCATTGTTGTGGGAGCGTCCCTACCCCGCCCATTGTTGTGGGAGCGTCCCTACCCTCGCCCATTGTTGTGGAAGCGTCCCTACCCCGCCCATTGTTGTGAGAGCGTCCTTACCCCGCCAATTGTTGTGGGAGCGTCCCTAAACCCGCCCAATGTTGTGGGAGCGTCCCTACCCGACCCATTGTTGTGGGAGCGTCCCTACCCTGCCCATTGTTGTGGGAGCGTCCCTACCCCGCCCATTGTTGTGGAAACGTCCCTACCCCGCCCATTGTTGTGAGAGCGTCCCTAAACCCGCCCATTGTTGTGGGAGGGTCCCTACCCCTGCCCATTGTTGTTGGAGCGTTACTCCCCCTCCCATTGTTGTGGGAGCGTCACTACCTTGCCCATTGTTGTGGGAGCGTCCCTACCCCGCCCATTGTTGTGGACAGCGTCCCTACCCCGCCCATTGTTGTGGGAGCGTCCCTACCCCGCCCATTGTTGTGAGAGCGTCCTTACCCCGCCTATTGTTGTGGGAGCGTCCCTAAACCCGCCCATTGTTGTGGGAGCGTCCCTACCCCGCCCATTGTTGTGGAAGCGTCCCAACCCCGCCCATTGTTGTAGGAGCGTCAATACCCCGCCCATTGTTGTGGAAGCGTCCCTACCCCGCCCATTGTTGTGAGAGCGTCCCTAAACCCGCCTATGGTTGTGGGAGCGTCCCTAAACCCGCCCATTGTTGTGGGAGGGTCCCTACCCCTGCCCATTGTTGTGGGAGCGTCACTCCCCCTCCCATTGTTGTGGGAGCGTCACTACCCTGCCCATTGTTGTGGGAGCGTCCCTACCCCGCCTATTGTTGTGGGAGCGTCCCTACCCCGCCCATTGTTGTAGGAGCGTCACTACCCCGCCCATTGTTGTGGGAGCGTCCCTACCCCGCCCATTGTTGTGGGAGCGTCCCTACCCCGCCCATTGTTGTGGGAGCGTCCCTACCCGACCCATTGTTGTGGGAGCGTCACTTCCCCGCCCATTGTTGTGGGAGCGTCACTACCCCTCCCATTGTTGTGGGAGCGTCCCTACCCCGCCCATTGTTGTGGGAGCGTCCCTACCCCGCCCATTGTTGTGGGAGCGTCCCTACACGACCCATTGTTGTGGGAGCGTCACTACCCCGCCCATTGTTGTGGGAGCGTCACTACCCCTCCCATTGTTGTGGGAGCGTCCCTACCCCGCCCATTGTTGTGGGAGCGTCCCTACCCCGCCCATTGTTGTGGGAGCATCCCTACCCCGCCCATTGTTGTGGGAGCGTCCCTACCTCGCCCATTGTTGTGGGAGCGTCCCTACCCCACCCATTGTTGTGGGAGCGTCACTACCCTGCCCATTGTTGTGGGAGCGTCCCTACCCCGCCCATTAATGTGGAAGCGTCACTGCCCTGCCCATTGTTGTGGGAGCGTCCCTACTCAGCCAATTGTTGTGAAAGCGTTCCTTTCGCGCCCATTGTTGTGGGAGCGTGTTACGGCCCTCTCGGGACGCAACGGGGTTCTTACTCTGATGTTGTTAGAGGAAGTTGTATCCGACCCCAAGCCAGTAGAGGCTTTCAAGGGATGCGATCCGTGACGCAAGTAACTTAAAGGGTGAAGGGAAAGAAAGTTAAGAACTTAATATAATATAATGTCCGCCACCAATAAATAATATATAAAAAGGTTACACAGGGGGAGGGGTATTAACACTATACAAGGGGATTATCCACAATCGTTGTCTTCTGCTGAAGACTCTGGTGCCAAGACTCTCGGTGCTGAGTCCTCGGTGCTTCTTCGTGGCCTCACAACAAATTCTTCTACGAAGTTGAGCCTACCCTGGCCACAGGTCAGCCAAAACACAGGTCCACTGGGGGCACCGCCGTGGAGGCCGTCAACCACAAATCCAGCCGGTCTGCTGGCAGGTTCCAGACCCGCAACGCTGGTCAGGCCACTCCACGAACGATATAAGGGGAACGCCCTAGACAGGAGCTTCGTGTGACACCACAAGTCACTCTCCTGTCCTTAATACCCCAGTGGATGATCGTCTCAACAGTCGGTCCCGGGTAACCCTTTTACTGCCACTCCACTGGCAGGCTAACACACCACAGTGTTCTTCCGGGGGGACGACTTCACAACTGCTGCAGCAAAGTACAAGGTACGGAGACGGCTGCCTTGGGTAGACTGACTCAACTTCCAACCAGCGGTCCCAGGTCGACTCTGTAAGCAGACACGTCATCAATAACTGGGACACACTAAGGCACCTCACTTACAGGCTCAGACACAAACGCCCACCTATCCACTCCATAGATGGCGCTGGTGTCTGAGCACCACCTCTCCAGAGGTCATCAGCGGCGGTGTAGAGTGCTGAACGGGACTGGAAACTGGCCCTTGTGGCCAGTACACGCCATCCTCACCAGGTGTCGTCGTCCGATTGGAGGGGGTTACAGGAGCTGACCCACAGATGGCGCGGTGGTCACTGCTCCGTGCTCGGACGCTGGATCCGGGTTCGTAACAGAGCGTCACTCTCCCTCCCATTGTTGTGGGAGCGTCACTACCCTGCCCATTGTTGTGGGAGCGTCCCTACCCCGCCCATTGTTGTGGGAGCGTCCCTACCCCGCCCATTGTTGTGGGAGCGTCCCTTCCCGACCCATTGTTGTGGGAGCGTCACTACCCCGCCCATTGTTGTGGAAGCGTCCCTTCCTGACCCATGGTTGTGGGAGCGTCACTACCCCTCGCATTGCTGTGGGAGCGTCCCTACCCCCGCCCATTGTTGTGGGAGCGTACCTACCCCTCGCATTGTTGTCGGAGCGTCCCTACCCCCGCCCATTGTTGTGGGAGCTTACCTACCCCGCCCATTGCTGTGGTAGCATACCTACCCCGCCCCTTGTTGTGGGAGCGTCTTTTTCACGCCCATTGTGGTGGGAGCGTCCCTAAACCCGCCCATTGTTGTGGGAGTGTCCCAACCACGCCCATTGTTGTGGGAACGTCCCTACACCGCCCATTTTTGTGGAAGCGTCCCTACCCCGCCCATTGTTGTGAGAGCATTCTTACCCCGCCAATTGTTGTGGGAGCGTCCCTACCCCGCCCATTGTTGTGGGAGTGTCCCTACCCCGTCCATTGTTGTGGGAGCGTCCCTACCCGACCCATTGTTGTGGGAGCGTCACTACCCCGCCCATTGTTGTGGAAGCGTCCCTACCCCGCCCATTGTTGTGGGAGCGTCCCTACCCCGCCCATTGTTGTGGGAGCGTCCCTACCCTGCCCATTGTTGTGGAAGCGTCCCTACCCCGCCCATTGTTGTGAGAGCGTTCTTACCCCGCCTATTGTTGTGGGAGCGTCCCTAAACCCGCCCATTGTTGTGGGAGCGTCCCTAAACCCGCCCATTGTTGTGGGAGCGTCCCTACCCCGCCCATTGTTGTGGGAGCGTCACTACCCCGCCCATTGTTGTTGAAGCGTCCCTACCCGCCCATTGTTGTGAGAGCGTCCCTAAACCCGCCTATTGTTGTGGGAGCGTCCCTAAACCCGCCCATTGTTGTGGGAGGGTCCCTACCCCCGCCCATTGTTGTGGGAGCGTCACTACCTTGTCCATTGTTGTGCGAGCGTCCCTACCCCGCCCATTGTTGTGGGAGCGTCCCTACCCCGCCCATTGTTGTGGGAGCGTCCCTACCCCGCCCATTGTTGTGGGAGCGTCCCTACCTCGCCCATTGTTGTGGGAGCGTCCCTACCCCCGCCCATTTTTGAGGGAGCGTCACTACCCTGCCCATTGTTGTGGGAGCGTCCCTACCCCGCCCATTGTTGTGGGAGCGTCCCTACCCCGCCCATTGTTGTGGGAGCGTCCCTACCCCGCCCATTGTTGTGGGAGCGTCCCTACCTCGCCCATTGTTGTGGGAGCGTCCCTACCCCACCCATTGTTGTGGGAGCGTCACTACCCTGCCCACTGTTGTGGGAGCGTCCCTACCCCTCCCATTGTTGTGGGAGCGTCCCTACCTCGCCCATTGTTGTGGGAGCGTCCCTACCCCCGCCCATTTTTGTGGAAGCGTCCATACCCCACTCATAGATGTGGGAGCGTCCTAACCCTGCCCATTGTTGTGGGAGCGTCCCTACCCCCGCCCCTTGTTATGGGAGCGTCTTTTTCACGCCCATTGTTGTGGGAGCGTCTCCAAACCCGCCCATTGTGGTGGGAGCGTCCCTAAGCCCGCCCATTGTTGTAGGAGCGTCACTACCCCGCCCATTGTTGTGGGAGCGTCCCTTCCCCGCCCATTGTTGTGGAAGCGTCCCTACCCCGCCCATTGTTGTGAGAGCGTCCCTAAACCTGCCCATTGTTGTGAGAGCGTCTCTAAACCCGCCCATTGTTGTGGGAGCGTCCCTACCCTGCCCATTGTTGTGGAAGCGTCCCTTCCCCGCCCATTGTTGTGGAAGCGTCCCTACCCCGCCTATTGTTGTGGGAGCGTCCCTAAACCTGCCCATTGTTGTGAGAGCGTCCCTAAACCCGCCCATTGTTGTGGGAGCGTCCCTACCCCGCCCATTGTTGTGGGAGCGTCACTACCCCACCCATTGATGTGGAAGCGTCCCTACCCCGCCCATTGTTGTGAGAGCGTCCCTAAACCCGCCTATTGTTGTGGGAGCGTCCCTAAACCCGCCCATTGTTGTGGGAGCGCTCCTACCCCATCCATTGTTGTGGGAGCGTCACTACTCTACCCATTGTTGTAGGAGCGTCCCTACCCCGCCCATTGTTGTGGGAGCGTCCCTACCCCGCCCATTGTTGTGGGAGCGTCCCTACCCGACCCATTGTTGTGGGAGCGTCACTACCCCGCCCATTGTTGTGGGAGCGTCACTACCTCTCCCATTGTTGTGGGAGCGTCCCTACCCCGCCCATTGTTGTGGGAGCGTCCCTACCCCCGCCCATTTTTGTGGAAGCGTCCATACGCCACTCATAGTTGTGCGAGCGTCCTAACCCCGCCCATTGTTGTGGGAGCGTCCCTTCCCCACCCATTCTTGTAGGGGCGTCCCTACGCCGCCCATTGCTGTGGGAGCGTCACAAACCTGCCCATTGTTGTGGGAGCGTCCCTACGCAGCCAATTGTTGTGGGAGCGTCCCTACCTCGCCCATTGTTGTGGGAGCGTCACTACCTTGTCCATTGTTGTGCGAGCGTCCCTACCCCACCCATTGTTGTGGGAGCGTCCCTACCCCGCCCATTGTTGTGGGAGCATCCCTACCCCGCCCATTGTTGTGGGAGCGTCCCTACCTCGCCCATTGTTGTGGGAGCGTCCCTACCCCCGCCCATTTTTGAGGGAGCGTCACTACCCTGCCCATTGTTGTGGGAGCGTCCCTACCCCGTCCATTGTTGTGGGAGCGTCCCTACCCCGCCCATTGTTGTGGGAGCATCCCTACCCCGCCCATTGTTGTGGGAGCGTCCCTACCTCGCCCATTGTTGTGGGAGCGTCCCTACCCCACCCATTGTTGTGGGAGCGTCACTACCCTGCCCACTGTTGTGGGAGCGTCCCTACCCCTCCCATTGTTGTGGGAGTGTCCCTACCCCGCCCATTGTTGTGGGAGCGTCCCTACCCCCGCCCATTTTTGTGGAAGCGTCCATACCCCACTCATAGATGTGGGAGCGTCCTAACCCTGCCCATTGTTGTGGGAGCGTCCCTACCCCTCGCATTGTTGTCGGAACGTCCCTACCCCCGCCCCTTGTTATGGGAGCGTCTTTTTCACGCCCATTGTCGTGGGAGCGTCTCCAAACCCGCCCATTGTGGTGGGAGCGTCCCTAAACCCGCCCATTGTTGTAGGAGCGTCACTACCCCGCCCATTGTTGTGGGAGCGTCCCTTCCCCGCCCATTGTTGTGGAAGCGTCCCTACCCCGCCCATTGTTGTGAGAGCGTCCCTAAACCTGCCCATTGTTGTGAGAGCGTCTCTAAACCCGCCCATTGTTGTGGGAGCGTCCCTACCCTGCCCATTGTTGTGGAAGCGTCCCTTCCCCGCCCATTGTTGTGGAAGCGTCCCTACCCCGCCTATTGTTGTGGGAGCGTCCCTAAACCTGCCCATTGTTGTGAGAGCTTCCCTAAACCCGCCCATTGTTGTGGGAGCGTCCCTACCCCGCCCATTGTTGTGGGAGCGTCACTACCCCGCCCATTGATGTGGAAGCGTCCCTACCCCGCCCATTGTTGTGAGAGCGTCCCTAAACCCGCCTATTGTTGTGGGAGCGTCCCTAAACCCGCCCATTGTTGTGGGAGCGCTCCTACCCCATCCATTGTTGTGGGAGCGGCACTACTCTACCCATTGTTGTAGGAGCGTCCCTACCCCGCCCATTGTTGTGGGAGCGTCCCTACCCCGCCCATTGTTGTGGGAGCGTCCCTACCCGACCCATTGTTGTGGGAGCGTCACTACCCCGCCCATTGTTGTGGGAGCGTCACTACCTCTCCCATTGTTGTGGGAGCGTCCCTACCCCGCCCATTGTTGTGGGAGCGTCCCTACCCCCGCCCATTTTTGTGGAAGCGTCCATACCCCACTCATAGTTGTGCGAGCGTCCTAACCCCGCCCATTGTTGTGGGAGCGTCCCTTCCCCACCCATTCTTGTAGGGGCGTCCCTACGCCGCCCATTGCTGTGGGAGCGTCACAAACCTGCCCATTGTTGTGGGAGCGTCCCTACGCAGCCAATTGTTGTGGGAGCGTCCCTACCCCGCCCATTGTTTTGGGAGCGTTCCTACCCCGCCCATTGTTTTGGGAGCGATCCTACCCTGCCCATTGTTGTAGGAGCATCCCTTCCCCGCCCATTGTTGTGGGGGCGTCACTACCCCCTCCCATTGTTGGGGGAGCGTCCCTACCCCGCCCATTGTTGTGGGAGCGTCCCTACCCCGCCCATTGTTGTGGAAGCGTCCCTACCCCCCACCCGTTTTGTGTGGGAGCGTCACTACCCCCGCCCATTGTTGTGGGAGCGTCCCTAGCCCCCAATTGTTGTGGGAGCGTCACTACTCCTCCCATTGTTGTGGGAGCGTCACTACCCTGCACATTGTTGTGGGAGCGTCCCTAAACCCGCCCATTCTTGTGGGAGCGTCCCTAAACCCGCCCATTGTGGTGGGAGCGTCCCTAAACCCGCCCATTGTGGTGGGAGCGTCCCTAAACCCGCCCATTATTGTGGGAGCGTCACTACCCCGCCCATTGTTGTGGGAGCATCCCTACCCCGCCCATTGTTGTGGGAGCGTCCCTACCTCGCCCATTGTTGAGGGAGCGTCCCTACCCCCGCCCATTTTTGAGGGAGCGTCACTACCCTGCCCATTGTTGTGGGAGCGTCCCTACCCCGTCCATTGTTGTGGGAGCGTCCCTACCCCGCCCATTGTTGTGGGAGCATCCCTACCCCGCCCATTGTTGTGGGAGCGTCCCTACCTCGCCCATTGTTGTGGGAGCGTCCCTACCCCACCCATTGTTGTGGGAGCGTCACTACCCTGCCCACTGTTGTGGGAGCGTCCCTACCCCTCCCATTGTTGTGGGAGTGTCCCTACCCCGCCCATTGTTGTGGGAGCGTCCCTACCCCCGCCCATTTTTGTGGAAGCGTCCATACCCCACTCATAGATGTGGGAGCGTCCTAACCCTGCCCATTGTTGTGGGAGCGTCCCTACCCCTCGCATTGTTGTCGGAACGTCCCTACCCCCGCCCCTTGTTATGGGAGCGTCTTTTTCACGCCCATTGTCGTGGGAGCGTCTCCAAACCCGCCCATTGTGGTGGGAGCGTCCCTAAACCCGCCCATTGTTGTAGGAGCGTCACTACCCCGCCCATTGTTGTGGGAGCGTCCCTTCCCCGCCCATTGTTGTGGAAGCGTCCCTACCCCGCCCATTGTTGTGAGAGCGTCCCTAAACCTGCCCATTGTTGTGAGAGCGTCTCTAAACCCGCCCATTGTTGTGGGAGCGTCCCTACCCTGCCCATTGTTGTGGAAGCGTCCCTTCCCCGCCCATTGTTGTGGGAGCGTCCCTACCCCGCCTATTGTTGTGGGAGCGTCCCTAAACCTGCCCATTGTTGTGAGAGCGTCCCTAAACCCGCCCATTGTTGTGGGAGCGTCCCTACCCCGCCCATTGTTGTGGGAGCGTCCCTACCCCGCCCATTGTTGTGGAAGCGTCCCTACCCCGCCCATTGTTGTGAGAGCGTCCCTAAACCCGCCTATTGTTGTGGGAGCGTCCCTAAACCCGCCCATTGTTGTGGGAGCGTCACTACTCTGCCCATTGTTGTAGGAGCGTCCCTACCCCGCCCATTGTTGTGGGAGCGTCACTACCCCGCCCATTGTTGTGGGAGCGTCCCTACCCGACCCATTGTTGTGGGAGCGTCACTACCCCGCCCATTGTTGTGGGAGCGTCACTACCCCTCCCATTGTTGTGGGAGCGTCCCTACCCCGCCCATTGTTGTGGGAGCGTCCCTACCCCCTCCCATTTTTGTGGAAGCGTCCATACCCCACTCATAGTTGTGGGAGCGTCCTAACCCCGCCCATTGTTGTGGGAGCGTCCCTACCCCTCCCATTGTTGTGGGATCGTCCCTACCCTGCCCATTGTTGTGGGAGCGTCACAAACCTGCCCATTGTTGTGGGAGCGTCCCTACGCAGCCAATTGTTGTGGGAGCGTCCCTACCTCGCCCATTGTTGTGGGAGCGTCACTACCTTGTCCATTGTTGTGCGAGCGTCCCTACCCGACCCATTGTTGTGGGAGCGTCCCTACCCCGCCCATTGTTGTGGGAGCGTCCCTACCCCGCCCATTGTTGTGGGAGCGTCCCTACCCCGCCCATTGTTGTGGGAGCGTCCCTACCCCCGCCCCTTGTTGAGGGAGCGTCCCTACCCCGCCCATTGTTGTGGGAGCGTCCCTACCCCGTCCATTGTTGTGGGAGCGTCCCTACCCCGCCCATTGTTGTGGGAGCGTCCCTACCCCGCCCATTGTTGTGGGAGCGTCCCTACCGCGCCCATTGTTGTGGGAGCGTCCCTACCCCTCCCATTGTTGTGGGAGCGTCACTACCCTGCCCATTGTTGTGGGAGCGTCCCTACCCCTCCCATTGTTGTGGGAGCGTCCCTACCCCGCCCATTGTTGTGGGAGCGTCACTACCCCCGCCCATTTTTGTGGGAGCGTCCATACCCCACCCATTGTTGTGGGAGCGTCCTAACCCTGCCCATTGTTGTGGGAGCGTCCCTACCCCGCCCATTGTTGTGGGAGCGTCCCTACCCCCGCCCCTTGTTGTGGGAGCGTCTTTTTCACGCCCATTGTTGTGGGAGCGTCTCCAAACCCGCCCATTGTGGTGGGAGCGTCCCTAAACCCGCCCATTGTTGTGGGAGCGTCACTACCCCGCCCATTGTTGTGGGAGCGTCCCTACCCCGCCCATTGTTGTGGAAGCGTCCCTACCCCGCCCATTGTTGTGGGAGCGTCCCTAAACCCGCCCATTGTTGTGGGAGCGTCCCTAAACCCGCCCATTGTTGTGGGAGCGTCCCTACCCCGCCCATTGTTGTGGAAGCGTCCCTTCCCCGCCCATTGTTGTGGAAGCGTCCCTACCCCGCCTATTGTTGTGGGAGCGTCCCTAAACCTGCCCATTGTTGTGAGAGCTTCCCTAAACCCGCCCATTGTTGTGGGAGCGTCCCTACCCCGCCCATTGTTGTGGGAGCGTCACTACCCCGCCCATTGTTGTGGAAGCGTCCCTACCCCGCCCATTGTTGTGAGAGCGTCCCTAAACCCGCCTATTGTTGTGGGAGCGTCCCTAAACCCGCCCATTGTTGTGGGAGCGCTCCTACCCCATCCATTGTTGTGGGAGCGTCACTACTCTACCCATTGTTGTAGGAGCGTCCCTACCCCGCCCATTGTTGTGGGAGCGTCCCTACCCCGCCCATTGTTGTGGGAGCGTCCCTACCCGGCCCATTGTTGTGGGAGCGTCACTACCCCGCCCATTGTTGTGGGAGCGTCACTACCTCTCCCATTGTTGTGGGAGCGTCCCTACCCCGCCCATTGTTGTGGGAGCGTCCCTACCCCCGCCCATTTTGTGGAAGCGTCCATACCCCACTCATAGTTGTGGGAGCGTCCTAACCCCGCCCATTGTTGTGGGAGCGTCCCTTCCCCACCCATTCTTGTAGGGGCGTCCCTACGCCGCCCATTGCTGTGGGAGCGTCACAAACCTGCCCATTGTTGTGGGAGCGTCCCTACGCAGCCAATTGTTGTGGGAGCGTCCCTACCCCGCCCATTGTTTTGGGAGCGTTCCTACCCCGCCCATTGTTTTGGGAGCGTTCCTACCCTGCCCATTGTTGTAGGAGCATCCCTTCCCCGCCCATTGTTGTGGGGGCGTCACTACCCCTCCCATTGTTGGGGGAGCGTCCCTACCCCGCCCATTGTTGTGGGAGCGTCCCTACCCCGCCCATTGTTGTGGAAGCGTCCCTACCCCCCACCCGTTTTGTGTGGGAGCGTCACTACCCCCGCCCATTGTTGTGGGAGCGTCCCTAGCCCCCAATTGTTGTGGGAGCGTCACTACTCCTCCCATTGTTGTGGGAGCGTCACTACCCTGCCCATTGTTGTGGGAGCGTCCCTAAACCCGCCCATTCTTGTGGGAGCGTCCCTAAACCCGCCCATTGTGGTGGGAGCGTCCCTAAACCCGCCCATTGTGGTGGGAACGTCCCTAAACCCGCCCATTGTTGTGGGAGCGTCACTACCCCGCCCATTGTTGTGGGAGCGTCACAACCCTGCCCATTGTTGTGGGAGCGTCCCTACTCCGCCCATTGTTGTGGGAGCGTCCCAACCCCGCCCATTGTTGTGGGAGCGTCCCAACCCTGCCCATTGTGGCGGGAGCATCCCTACCCCGCCCATTGTTGTGGGAGCGTCCCTACCTCGCCCATTGTTGTGGGAGCGTCCCTACCCCGCCCATTGTTGTGGGAGCGTCCCAACCCTGCCCATTGTTGCGGGAGCGTCCCTACCCCGCCCATTGTTGTGGGAGCGTCCCTACCCCGCCCATTGTTGTGGGAGCGTCCCTACCCCGCCCATTGTTGTGGGAGCGTCCCTACCCCACCCATTGTTGTGGGAGCGTCCCTACCCCGCCCATTGTTGTGGGAGCGTCCGTACCCCGCCCATTGTTGTGGAAGCGTGCCTACCCCCGCCCATTGTTGTGGGTGCGTCCGTACCCCGCCTATTGTTGTGGAAGCGTCCCTACCCCCCCCCCCATTGTTGTGGGAGCGTCCCTAGCCCCCCATTGTTGTGGGAGCGTCACTACTCCGTCCCATTGTTGTGGGAGCGTCCCTACCCCCCCATTGTTGTGTGAGCGTCCCTACCCCTATTGTTGTGGGATCGGCACTACCCCGCCCATTTTTGTGGGAGCGTCACCACCCTGCCCATTGTTGAGGGAGTGTCTTAACCTCGCTCATTGTTGTGGGAGCGTCACTACCCCGCCCATTGTTGTGGGAGCGTCACTACCCCGCCCATTGTTGTGGGAGCGTCACTACTCCGCCCATTGTTGTGGGAACGTCCCTACCCCGCCCATTGTTGTGAGAGCGTCTCTAACCCGCCCATTGTTGTGGGAGCGTCCCTGCCCCTCTTTCTCGACCTCCGTCTCCGCGACCTTCCTACCTTACCTATGAGAACCGACCTGTTAGATTTATATTTATTTAATTTATATGAATTTTTATAGAATTTATATTTACGTTAATTTATATACTTCGATAGCAATTGGTATGATGTTAAGTGGACTGTATTTCTGCAATAATCTCACAAATCGATCCACTACACATTAGGGGGGAGTTTATATTGAATTTATATATATGCAGCCAATCAAACTACAGTATTAAACTACCTATATTGTTAAACATTGAAGAGGTTCCTTATCTTATTGTACAGCAGGCCTTAGTCCACCAGGTATAACTAGGGTGTAGACACCAAATTTTCCTCGTGTGAGGTAGCTTCCATCACCCTGGTAACTGATGCACAAAGCATGCTTCCTCGTCTTGACCTGTCAAAAGGGCGCTAGCTGTAAAGCCAGAATCCTAATATATGACAGCTATATCAGAGAAAACACTGTACATTGAACCATAAAGACCTAGGCTTAATTACCTTTTTTGAGTTGATCATTCGTGTTCTAACCTGTTCACCCTATATATCTACCTAATATTCATTGCCACAAATAATTAGATAAACGGGTTTCGGAAAGACACCTCCCTTGTATTTGCTGACAGCGTGTTGATGAAGGCAGATCACTACTCTGATCTTCCATAACACTTCGTCCAAGAGAATTTATAGGAGCCGTTACTTGCTCCAACGACTCTGGTCTTAAACAATAACAATGGCTGACCACTCCCTCACAACTGACGCTACTGGCCTACATTGTCCAGATGACAGTAAGTGATAGAAGGGTCACATTTACTCTATTTTAATTCTGATAATTAAGTTAATTTATATGAGATGTTTTTATGATGGTAAAGTCCAAAGACTAATGTATTTAAGAATAATTCCCAGCAGAATAGCTGGTGAATTTATAATAGTATGTGGTAATGATATCCCGTTTTCTATAGACGGAGAATTCCACTACAAGTTACGTTTTGTATGGGTTAACTTGTTTATACAATGCAGCAATATTATCTGCCTGTATGATATTATTAAATAGTGTCGGATTTTCCGACATTACCAACTCTTCCTTCCTCTTCGACCTCCTACTCCTCCTTTCTTCTTGCTCTTCTCCTTAACCTCCTCTTTAACATCCTCCTTCCATTTTGCCTTCCTCCTCGCCTCTTCCTTCTCCTTCTTCCTCCTTGCTCTCCTCCACCTCCTTCCTCCTCGCCCTCCTCCTCTTCTCCCTCCTTGCTCCTCCCCCTCCTTCTCCTCCTTCATCCTTGCCCTCCTTCCTCCTTCTTCCTCCACCTCCTTCCTCCTCTCCCTCCTCCTCCTTCCTCCTCGCCCTCTTCCTCCTCGCCCTCTTCCTCCTTCCTCCTCGACCTCCTCCTTTCTCCTAGACCTCACCCTCTTACCTGGAATTCTTCCTCCTTCCTCCCGACTCTCTTTCTCCTCCTCCTTCTTCCTCGCCCTCCTCCTCTTTCCTCCTCGCCTTACTCCTCGTTCCTCCTCCCTCTTCGCCCTCCTCGTCCTTCCTTCTCGCCCTCCCTCCTCCTCGCCCTCCTCCCTCCTCCTCGCCCTCCTCCCTCCTCCTTCCTTCTCGCCCTCCTCCTCCTTCCTACTCACCCTCCTCTTCCTTCTTGCCCTTCTTCTACCTCCACTTTCTCCTCCTCCTCTCCTCCTTCCCCTTCTTTTTCCTTGTTGCTCTCCTCCACCTCCTTCCTCTTCGCCCTCCTCCTCCTTCCTTCTCGCCCTCCTTCCTCCACGCCCTCCTTCCTCCTCGCCCTCCTCCTCCTTCCTCCTTGCTCTTCTCTTTTTTCCTCCTCTTCCCTCCTCGCCCTACTCCTCCTTCCTCCTCGCTCTCCTCATCCTCAACGTCCTCTTTAACTTCCTCCTCTACCTCATCCTCCTTCCTCCTCTGCCTTGACCTCCTCCTCCTCCTTCCTCCTCGACCTCTTCCTAAAAAAATTAATAAAAATGATGAATTAACCTTTATTATGATCTTGTTTCTTTTTACTAAATGTTGAAATATACTTTTATATTTCTACATTTATATAAATAACAGCAATAAAAAACTACGTTCATGAAACATTTAAGGTTGCCACAAGGTTTCAATTTTTTTTAGCCAACGTTTCGTGCAATACGTTTTAGAAACTTATTTACATCCACACAAATTTACGCATCTAATGCGTGAAAACAAACGTTGCCCATACTTTCCAACACTTTCCAGATACGTTGTGGCAACCTAGAATTGTTTCCTGGGAGGGCAGCTCCCAGCAGCGAGACACAGAGGGCAGCTCCCAGCAGCGAGTCACAGAGGGCAACTCCCAGCAGCGAGACAGCAGCGAGAGGGCAGCTCCCCACACAGAGGGCAGCTCCCAGCACACAGAGGGCAGCTCCCAGCAGCGAGACACAGAGGGCAGCTCCCAGCAGCGAGACACAGAGGGCAGCTCCCAGCAGCGAGACACAGAGGGCAGCTCCCAGCAGCGAGACACAGAGGGCAGCTCCCAGCAGCGAGACACAGAGGGCAGCTCCCAGCAGCGAGACACAGAGGGCAGCTCCCAGCAGCGAGACACAGAGGGCAGCTCCCAGCAGCGAGACAGAGGGCAGAGGGCAGAGGGCAGCTCCCAGCAGCGAGACACAGAGGGCAGCTCCCAGCAGCGAGACACAGAGGGCAGCTCCCAGCAGCGAGACACAGAGGGCAGCTCCCAGCAGCGAGACACAGAGGGCAGCTCCCAGCAGCGAGACACAGAGAGCAGCTCCCAGCAGCGAGACACAGAGGGCAGCTCCCAGCAGCGAGACACAGAGGGCAGCTCCCAGCAGCGAGACACAGAGGGCAGCTCCCAGCAGCGAGACACAGAGGGCAGCTCCAGCAGCGAGAGCAGAGGGCAGCTCCCAGCAGCGAGAGGGCAGCTCCCAGCAGCGAGACGCAGAGGGCAGCTCCCAGCAGCGAGACACAGAGAGCAGCTCCCAGCAGCGAGACACAGAGGGCAGCTCCCAGCAGCGAGACACAGAGGGCAGCTCCCAGCAGCGAGACACAGAGGGCAGCTCCCAGCAGCGAGACACAGAGGGCAGCTCCCAGCAGCGAGACACAGAGGGCAGCTCCCAGCAGCGAGACACAGAGGGCAGCTCCCAGCAGCGAGACACAGAGGGCAGCTCCCAGCAGCGAGACGCAGAGGGCAGCTCCCAGCAGCGAGACACAGAGGGCAGCTCCCAGCAGCGAGACACAGAGGGCAGCTCCCAGCAGCGAGACACAGAGGGCAGCTCCCAGCAGCGAGACACAGAGGGCAGCTCCCAGCAGCGAGACACAGAGGGCAGCTCCCAGCAGCGAGACACAGAGGGCAGCTCCCAGCAGCGAGACACAGAGGGCAGCTCCCAGCAGCGAGACACAGAGGGCAGCTCCCAGCAGCGAGACACAGAGGGCAGCTCCCAGCAGCGAGACACAGAGGGCAGCTCCCAGCAGCGAGACACAGAGGGCAGCTCCCAGCAGCGAGACACAGAGGGCAGCTCCCAGCAGCGAGACACAGAGGGCAGCTCCCAGCAGCGAGACACAGAGGGCAGCTCCCAGCAGCGAGACACAGAGGGCAGCTCCCAGCAGCGAGACGCAGAGGGCAGCTCCCAGCAGCGAGACACAGAGGGCAGCTCCCAGCAGCGAGACACAGAGGGCAGCTCCCAGCAGCGAGACGCAGAGGGCAGCTCCCAGCAGTGTAATGCAAAGGGGCATCTCCCAGCAGTGTGGTGCAGAGGGCAGTTACCAGCGGCGAGGAGGAGAGACAGCTGGCGCCAGGTGAGGCATTGAGGTGTCTGGTGCTGCACAACATGGTAGAAGAGACAGCTGGCGCCAGGTGAGGCGTTGAGATGTCTGGTGCTGCACAACATGGTAGAAGAGACAGCTGGCGCCAGGTGAGGCGTTGAGGTGTCTGGTGCTGCACAAGATGGTAGAAGAGACAGCTGGCGCCAGGTGAGGCGTGGTGTCAAGAACAGTAACGAGACAAAAATGCAGCACTTTGTAGGAAGTTTGATGAGAGTATGAAAGTTTTGGGAAAACTTTGTTCAGCAGAAAACGTTGAGAGTGATTAAGGATTTTGGAAGAAAAATGTAACAAAATTATTTTCACGAGAGGTAAGACAAGAGAGTTACGAGAGTGGCAGCGTGAGGTAATATTAGGGTGGAGCCTGGCAGAATATGGTCTCGTCTGCACTGGCTCTCGTACTGCTGGACATTCTGGTGTTATATGGTGAGCGGAACTGATGGAATAGGGAACCCCGTTATTGGAATTGGTGTCGAAGGAAATGAAATAGGAAGAGTGAGGAGTGTACGGCACTAATACACAGGATCATGACAGCCATCACATTAGTTAGGAAGACTGGAGGACTCTGGTAGGGAGAGGAGTTGATTAGGCTTAAACTGATAGTTAACAGTAGTAAGAAAATATATTTGTGGAAAGAAAGTAATAAGCATGTGCTGGCAGGGTAACGCAGATGGAGACTGGCCTCAAAATAAGAACATTCCTAGGAGCTCTAGAAACAGAATATATAATTTAAATGCACAGTTTAAGTGTGTCTGGACAGAAACATTTAATATTATTGCACTATTAACATTAATGTTGGGATTAACATTATATCACATTGATAGATTAGACTAGGATGTGGATTATATATATATATATATATATATATATATATATATATATATATATATATATATATATATATATATATATATATATATATATATATATATATATATATAGGGAAGGGAGTACCACCTCTGGCTGGAAGAAGGGGGACCCATAGCCTCGGAGGAAACCACACATAACGCATTGGAGGGAATGTAGGTCCCCTCCAATACAGTTTCTGTGTGTTTTTCTCCTACCACCCCCTTCCTTTATTGTGTATTTAAAGGTTACAAAACATACAAGACAAATGCCTAAAGGTTATGGATTTCTTGAAGCTCCTCCGCTTCTGGACAGGAACCGAGGACGCAGCAAGCATTTCCCCTCTGGATCGCCACACTGAGACGCTGAAATAAAAAACTGGAAGCCCTTGGGTCTCTGGTGACGTCAATGAGCTTGGAACCCAATTCCTTGAGGAATCCCAAGGCACTCTTGCCCCAGGGGCCATGCGTCTCAGACGCTATGGGAACAAAGAGGTATTGACCTTCCAGTCGCCTGTACTTGAGTGATTTTGCTGTTTCCCTGTGGTTGGCCGCCCCACCTGCTTGATCAGCTCCGAAGTGTACATAGGTGTCAGCCAGGGTGGATACACATGTGTAGTCCCACACCAACTGTCTACCCTCCTTCCATGAGTATATGGTGATGCCATCAGGGCGAAGTGCGGAGAAATCCGGGTTTTGGACCCCTAGGATGCGAGGTTCTCTCTCCGCTGGGCACCCAGCCGAGACGAAGCTTCTCTTGATGATGTCATTGACCTCGTTGTGTCTTGCATGCCAGCCCTTTGTGCTTCCGCAATGCAACCCATGCAGTCCGTATTGGTCTGCTTCCACCCTGTTGCAAATACACTTGTATTCAGTGTGAATTGGGGCACCAAGGCGGAGGGCCACTGCTACACGAAGGGATTCTGGATCTAGGCGCGTGCCCATTGCTGACATGGGTACTGCCAGGAGGAAGTCTCCTGCATGGGGGCACGCACTGCTTTGAGGCGGGCTTTCTCCTTGTCTGATGTTGCGACGCTGAGCATGGCATCAGCTACTTTTTCCACTAGAGGGTGGTCCCAGCCGGACTGTTTGTGTTGTTTTGTTGGCTCTATAATGGTTGCTGGGGCTGCAAGAACATTCCACTGATTTGAACATTCAGTGAAAGCAGGATCGTGTATTCCTGCTGAATCTCTCAGGGTTGCAGGTAAAATATCTCTGACGAGGTCGTGCGATGCATGAGAGGAGGAAAGGAAGGCTGGTAGAGCAATTTGGGAGGCTGTGCGGACACCAAGGCCGCCGAGTCTTACAGGAAGGGTTGCTTGCTCCCACTGAGAGTCGTCCAATGGCAGGTTCAGGACTTTCACCAGCATGGACCTCAGAAGGGTGTCATACACATTTAACTTAGGGCTGCTGTAGGATGGAGAACATCTCAGAAAGTAGGTCAACTTAGGGAGAGACAGGCATCTTGTAAGGAGAAAGAGAGCATCATGGGCATCAATCTTGTCAATCCTGTTCAATTTCATATATATATATATATATATATATATATATATATATATATAGATATATATATATATATATATATATATATATATATATATATATATATATATATATATATATATATATATATATATATATATATATATATATATATGAAATCAGATAATGTGAAGGTGTTCAGCAAGGTGATCCTCTTGCTCCCCTTCTTTTCTGATTAGTCTTAAAAGAAATCACCGAAAGCTTGTCCAGCGAGTTCAACATCTGGTTTTTGGATGATGGCACTATAGCTGGCACCGTAGACCACCTCTTGGCAGATATCAGGAAAATAAGGGAGCAAGAAGTAAGCCTGGGTCTTGTCCTGAACCCTTCCAAGTGTGAAGTAGTCTCCTCCAACCCAGACATCGTAGCTAGAATAAGGTCTGCCTTGCCTGGAGCCCATGTCATTAGGGCCGAGAACAGCACCCTCCTTGGAGCCCCCCCTCGGGTCTAAAGCCAGTGAGGAGATCCTTGACAAGAAAATCGCAGACCTTAGGAGGATGGAAGACAGAATAGGTGACATCGATGCCCACTATGCTTTTTATCTCCTCACAAAATGCCTATCCCTTGCGAGGTTAACCTACTTTCTGAGGTGCGCCCCATCTTACGACAGCCGAAAGCTTGAAGAGTATGACCTCTTACTGAAGACCATGCTGGAAAAAGTTGTTAACCTCTCCCTCAACGAATGCCAGTGGAAACAAGCCACTCTTCCTGTTAGGCTCGGTGGCTTGGGTGTCCACACCGTCACCCAAATTGCTGTACCAACCTTCCTGTCTTCCTCCTCAGCATCAGATGACCTGGTTAAGGAAATTCTACCTGACACACTGAGTGATGTAGCGGGGATACAGGACCCCCACTACATGGAATGCGACACGAAATGGGGTGCCATGGCAGACCCAGAACTCAGACCAGTCATGCTAGAAGCCAAGAAACAATCTAGTTGGGACAGCCCCATTGTAGACAAAGAAACCACAGCTTTGCTGGAGGCAGCAACAACCCCCAGTGATCGTGCACTCCTCACAGCTGTGCAGGCTCCCCATGCAGGGGACTTCCTTTTGGCAGTCCCTATGTCTGCGACAGGCACACGTCTTGATCCGCAGGAGCTCCGTATTGCAGTCGCTCTCCGTCTTGCTGCCCCTATCCACACTGTTCACAGGTATATTTGCGGCGAGGCAGATGCTGACGAATATGGATTGCATGGCCTGCGCTGTGGAAAATCTGGTGGTTGGCACACTAGACACGACGAAGTCAATGACATCATTAAAAGAAGCCTTGCCTCTGCTCAGTGTCCAGCGGAGAGAGAGCCCCGCAACCTACTGAACCGTGACTCTGTTAGCTTTGCCGGCCGACCAGACGGAATCACACTGCGACCGTGGAAGGGTGGCAGACAGTTGGCATGGGACTATACTTGTGTATCCACCCTGGCAACCACATACATCAACCTCTCTGCTGGCACAGCAGGAGCCGCAGCGACACGCAGAGAAAGAGACAAGTCAGCCAAGTACAGGTAATTAGATCATCGGTACAACTTTGTTCCAATAGGGTCTGAGACCCTAGGCCCATGGGGAGAGAGTGCAAGAAGGTTTCTTAAGGATCTTGGTTCCAAGCTCATTGACACCACAAGAGACCCTAGAGCAGCAAGTTTTCTCTTTCAGCGCTTCAGTGTCGCAATCCAGAGGGGGAATGCTCGCTGCATCCTCGGTTCCTGCCCGGCGTCGGAGGAGTTTGAGGAAATCTACAGCCTCTAGGAAGCGAACTTTTTTTTGTGTCCTCTTAATGTTCATTTGTTGTATAAAATCAGATATGTAACTGTATAACCTTGCATAATAAAGTGTACACCATAAAAAAGAGGGGGGTGGTAGGAGAACACTCTTACGCATTAAGAGTTAAATGGCCAGTTTTTCCCTGAATGCTCTGTGTTCCCTTCTCTGAGGCTGTGGGTCCCTATAATTGCACCAGAGGTGGTACCCCCCTATATATATATATATATATATATATATATATATATATATATATGTCGTACCTAGTAGCCAGAACGCACTTCTCAGCCTACTATGCAAGGCCCGATTTCCTAATAAGCCAAGTTTTCCTGATTTAATATATTTTGTCTAATTTTTTTCTTATGAAATGATAAAGCTACCCATTTCATTATGTATGAGGTTAATTTTTTTTATTGGAGTTAAAATTAACGTAGATATATGACCAAACCTAACCAACCCTACCTAACCTATCTTTATAGGTTAGGTTAAGTTAGGTTAGGTAGGTTAGGTAGTCGAAAAAACATTAATTCATGAAAACTTGGCTTATTCGGCAAATCGGGCCTTGCATAGTAGGCCGAGAAGTGCGTTCTGGCTACTAGGTACGACATACATATATATATATATATATATATATATATATATATATATATATATATATATATATATATATATATATATATATATATATATATATATATATATATATATATATATATATATATATATATATATATATATATATATAATACACACATATATATATATATAATACATATGTGAGAAAGCTGCATGAACGCGCAAGCCATATATCACTAAGAACTCTTTGACCCGGCCAGGATTCGAACCCATGCCGTCCAGGATCACCCCTAAATACACAGTACCGTGACCATTATTAAAACATTATTAATACAAACAGGTATTAAAGGTAGGTAACTGCAGAAGGCCTATTTTTATTGGCCCATATTTCTTGATGCTTCTTTATTGGAGCGGAGTCTTGAAGTGGGTAGAATATAGTTGTGCATTAATTGGCTGTTGATTGCTGGTGTTGACTTCTTGATGTGTAGTGCCTCGAAGACGTCAAGCCGCCTGCTATCGCTGTATCTATCGATGATTTCTGTGTTGTTTGCTAAGATTTCTCTGGTGATGGTTTGGTTGTGGGAAGAGACTATATGTTCCTTAATGGAGCCCTCTTGCTTATGCATCGTTAAACGCCTGGAAAGAGATGTTGTTGTCTTGCCAATATACTGAGTTTTTTGAGGCTTACAGTCCCCAAGAGGGCATTTGAAGGCATAGACGACGTTGGTCTCTTTTAAAGCGTTCTGCTTTGTGTCTGGAGAGTTTCTCATGAGTAGGCTGGCCGTTTTTCTGGTTTTACAGTAAATTGTCAGTTGTATCTTCTGATTTTATCAGAAGATACAAGGGCAAACACCTGTTAACTATGCACATTTAATAAACAAAGAACATGTAAGATACACTACATAAAAGAAATAAGAATATTTACGTAAAATACTCTAAGCTACTACAACCTGGTTGCGATCCAATACCCTCTCTTGGCTTCACCAGCCGTCAATTTCGAGTGGTTGCCCAACCCCTGGCTAACCACTCATTACCCCATCACCAAGTGGGGTTAAATCTCGTCGTAATAATACTACGCGGTCAACCGAAATATATATTTTTTAACACAACTTATGGCTGTAACACTAGAAACATCAATATTACACAATCAGTCCTGAAAGTATATGAAGCTCTGCTTGTGGCTGAGGCACTAGAAACATCTGCATAAAAATTCCTCAACAAAAAATGGTCAATCTCTCACCTTCCACTGCGTCTTACACGCCAATGACATTCAAGCACTCTCCTAACACATTTTAAGGCGTCACCATGAACCTCCGCTCTGCATCTAGAGGCTCATTACCCTGTATATCTCTAGGTTCTCCCAGAATTGTCAACAAGGGTCTTCTGCAACCCAGCTGCAGCCCTGCTAATAGACTGCTACACTATGAAGTTCTCCTCAAACACCAACTCTACCACTGATCCCTCAGAAGCACGTGAAACTTCACTGCTCCTCTTCACAGAGTGTGGTCCACCTATCACTATTTGGCTCTGCTCTTCCACAGAGTTCAGCATTCACTTCTACAGCCCTGAAGTTCCACCCAATAACTTCTCTGGCCTCGAAGTTCCATCAACTTCTACAAAAAAAACTGCAATTTCCATTGCCATGCCAATAAAAATGTTTTCCTACTAAAACACAACTAAATGTATTCATATAATGAAGTCTCCTTCACTCGACATCTCTTTTAACTCTCACACGTCGCGAGGGGGACTCCCCAGTTCGGGCGATTCCATGCTCCACCTCCCTGAGCAGCAGCCTCGCGAGGCTGTCTGCCTCAGTCACCCACTGACGCTTGGAGAGGATGGACGTGTCGCCACCTCTTCCAACTGGTTGCCTCATCTTCACTCTCTTATTTAAGCCTACTGCCCTAATAAAATATATCTAATATACCTATAAACACTTGCCATGAGCGCTGGAGACACGATCAATCACAGGCAATCGCTAACAACTGGTTAAATAGGCTTACCTCAGAATTTATCTCATGTGGGGCGTGCTGAGGTCCGGTCATCGACATTGGTGATCACCCGTCGCCTACAAAATCGCTATAAAGCTGCTTCACCAGGCGCTTTCTATTCCCGTCTCGAGCATTAAGTCGTCCCCAGGCTTCATACACGAACATCTGACTGGTCCCCTCCTCTTGATGGAGCACAAAATTAGAGATTCCTCCTTTACTGCCAGGAGCACAAACAGCGTAACCTCCTCTCACGATCTCTGCTGCTCGAGTGAAGTCAAGACATATGCAGTGAGCCGCTTATGTTGCCAACAAAATCTCGACATCTCATGTCAAGTACCGTTATCTTAAGGTAATCTTAGGATGATTTCGGGGTTTTCAGTGTCCCCACGGCCCGGTTCTCGACCAGGCCTCCACCCCCAGGAAGCAGCCCGTGACAGCTGACAAACACCCAGGTACCTATTTTACTGCTAGGTAACAGGGGCATAGGGTGAAAGAAACTCTGCCAATTGTTTCTCGCCGGCGCCTGGATCGAACCCAGGACCACAGGATCACAAGTCCAGCGTGCTGTCCGTTCGGCCGACCGCCTCCCATATTTACATATTTATCCTCTGCTAATGCTCTTAAACTCTTCATTATCCTTAGCCAAGTATTTAATATATTCACATGTCTACATTTCCTTTAACCTCTCACTTGGGTCTGGTTTGGTGAATAACTCTCAAAAGGGGCAGACTCGTTTTTCAGCCTACCTGGGGTCATAACAGGAGAACAAGGGGACAGAGGAGTGGGAGATGGTGGGGAGGACAAGATGATGGGGGAAGGGGGAATGGTTGGGAGGACGATATAGAAGGGGAAGTGAGAGATGATTTGGAGGACGAGGGTACAGTGGAGGGGAGAAGGGTGGGGGAGGAAGAGGGGACGGTGGAGTGGGAGATGGTGGGGAGGACAAGGGGATGGGGGAATGGTGGGGAGGACGAGGGGATGGGGGAGTGAGGAACAGTTGGAAGGAAGAAGGGATGGGGGAGTGGGAAATGGTTGAGAGGACGAGTGGATGGGGGAGAGGGGAATGGTGGGGAGGACTGGGGGCCAGGGGGGAAGGTTGATGTGGCTCAGTAACGTACATGTGTTGCTGAGCCACAGCAACGCATGGCCGGGTACAGCTAGTCTATATAAATAAGAATGTAAATGTTCGTTTGTTCAAAATAGCTAATCTCCGAAAGTTCGTCACAGATTTCCTTGAAATTTTCAACACAACGTTCCATTCGCATCCAAGCGAGGTTTTATATACATACTATATTGATGTCACGTCTGTGATGGAAAAAACATGTTTTTTAATCTGTGTTTTTCATGTGAGGGAAATCTTGGAAACCTCTTTACCGATTGCTTTGAAATTTTGACACAACGTTCCATTCGAATATGAGCTTGTGTTTATATACCTACTATATAGATGCCACACCTGTGACAGATAAAAAAATATATTTTTTTTAACAGCTCCATCTGTTGCACATAATAGCAACACACGCTGTACTAAATATGTTATGATTCCATTTCAATGTTTCCAATTGCATTGATAAATTGAATTTTCATAGATTTAGATTAATTATGATCTTCATTTAATTATTTTGTGTGACATTGCATTGGAATTCAGTTGTGTTGTTTATCATACTGTTCATTTCATATGTATAAGTAAAGATACTACACCTGTGACAAGTAAAAACATTTTTTTTTTTAGGAAACGGTGCCATCTGTTGCACGTAAGAGCAACACATGCTATACTAAATACGTTACGATTCCATTTCAATATTTCCGATTGCACTGACATTGAATTTTCATAGATTTCGGTTTATTTTCATTCTGATTTAATTATTTTGTATGACATTGCATTGGAATTGAGCTGTGTGGTTTACCATACCGTTCATTTTGTGAGTAAGTATAGATGCCACTCCTGTGATAGGTAAAAACATGCCTTTTTTTTAAAAAACAGCGCCATCTGTGGCACGTAAGAGCAACACATGCTATACTAAATATAACGATTTCATTTTAATGTTCCCAATTTCATTGAGGAATTGTACAGCTACTTAGTTCAGCCTGTGTTTCTCTTACGCGCAACAGATGGCGCTGTTTTTCAAAAAAACTTGTTTTTACCTGTCACAGGAGAGGCATGTATAAAGTGGGTATATAAAGACTATTCGAATGCAACTTTGTGTCAAAATTTCAAAGTAATTAATAAAGAGGTTTCCCTCACGTGAAAAACATACGAAAAACGCAGCTTTTCAAAGAAAAATGTTATTTCTCATCACAGACGGGACATTTACATAGTATGTATATAAAAACTCGCTAGGATGCGAATGGAACGTTGTGTGAAAATTTCAAAGCAAACGACGAAGAACTTTCGGATATTAGCGATTTTGAACAAACGAACATTTACATTTTTATTTATATAGATATTAAGAACATTAATTTTAACTAAAAAAAATAACTCAGGCATAATGAAATGGATAGCTTTATCGATTCATAAGAAAAAATTAGAAAAATATATAAATTCAGGAAAACTTGGCTTATTAGCCAAATCGGGCCTTGCATAGTAACCCGAGTACTGCGTTCTGGCTACAAGGTACAACACACACACACACACACACACACACACACACACACACAAACACACACACACACACACACACACAGGCATATATATATATATATATATATATATATATACACATTATACATATAAAATATATATTTATATAAAAAAATAGAAAGGGTACCACCTCTGGTGAAAGTGTAGAGACCCATAGCCTCGGAGAAGAAAATAAAGAGAACTCAGAGAAGACCTTGTGGATCCTAACTGAACACTTTGATATTTTCTTTTCCTACCACCCCTATTCTTTTGGTATGTGTGTATATTTATCTAACTTTATTTGAAAATGTCATTACACAAAAAAAGTTACAATATTGATTACATGCAGGGTACAAGGCTGCTTGTCACAGGTTGAACAGCTCCTCCAGCTCCTCAGATGGCGGGCAGGAACCATGGATGCAGTGAGCATTTCCTCTCTGGATTGCCACACTAAGGCGCTGAAAGAGAAAACTGGCAGCTCTGGGGTCTCTAGTTGTTTCGATTAGCTTAGACCCCAACTCCTTCCAAAAGCTAGCAGCACTTTTACCCCAGGCACCAAGTGTCTCTGAGGCAATGGGGACAAAATTGTAGTGGTGCTCAAGGTCTCTGTATTTACGTGACTTGGCCGCTTCCCGGTGATTGGCAGCTCCTCCTGCTTGTGTAGCACTGAAGTCCACATAGGTATTGGCTAAAGTTGAAACGCAAGTGTAATCCCACACCAACTGTCTTCCATTCTTCTAGGGGTTCACCGTGATTCCATCTGGGCGACCGACAGGCTCATCAGAGGTGCAGGACATTAGGTAACAGGGCTCTCTCTCTGCTGGACAACCGGCTGTGGTAAGGCTTCTCTTAATAATGTCATTGACCTCGCCGTGTCTTGCATGCCATCCTCCTGTCCTTTGGCAGAGAGGGCCATGCCGTCCGTATCTGTCGGCCTTTGCCTCGCCGCAAATACACCTGTATTCAGTGTGGATTGGGGCAGTGAGGCGGAGAGCCACGGCAATTCAGAGGGCGTGTAGTGTGAGACGGGTGCCGGTTGCTGACATTGGGGTTGCTAATAGGAAATCACCTGCATGGGGAGCTGCTACTCCCCATGCAGCATCTTATTGCTTCTTATTTACAATTATTACTTAACCTATCTACGGTATAGGTTAAGTAATAATTGTAATTAAGAAGCAATAAGATGTTTATCTTAACATACTAAGAAGGTTAGGTGAGGTCGGTGTTTTCTATGAAGCTTTTCAAGGTAAACTAAAATATTCACAATCAATTAGTATGTCACATATGCACTTATTAAATAAGCCAATATTGACTCGAAGCAAGTGTGAGAACGGGTTGACGTTAACAGCCCTAAACAGTGGACAGTTAAAGATCCCTCGTCCTAAAGATGGCTACATTAACCTGACTTCTTATGATCTTACCCAGGACCAACGAGACCTCTTAAATCTTGGCCTAAATTGTCAATTCATATCTAAACCAAAGATGCATCAAAAACGCTTGGAAATCGAAATGCTTCTGCACGACATCCACAAGTTAGAAGACAACAAAAAAGTCATCACCACTGACACACTTCAGTCTGAACTAATAACAGAAGCGGGGAAAAAACGAGGAACATACTCATCTACAATCTTAACCCCACGACTCAAAGAAGCAACAAAACACCTAAAAAATCTGAAAGACGTAACAATAAGAAAAGCCGACAAGACAGAAGCATATGTATTGATTCCTACCCAAGAATACATGAACAAAATAAGCGACATCCTTAGTGATGACACCAAATTTCAACGAATCACGAGGAACCCTGTGGAAGACCGTAAACGCAAAGTAAACAAAACAATTACTGCAATCAACGCAAAGAAAGGTAGTGTGCATTTCACTAAACTCCAAGGCGACTATGGCTTAGGATATGCCTATGGCAATGTTAAGACACACAAACCAGGTAACCCACTACGCCCAATAATCAGCCAAATACCAACTCCAACCTATCATCTGGCAAAAGACTTAACGAACTCCTAACTCTATACACTCCAAGCAAGTATAGTCTACAATCATCAGCCGATT